TAATAATAATAGCCAACAGTGTGTGTGTGATCTTTGTCCTCATGCAGGAACCCTGTTGCCACGGTTACCATCCGAGCCCGGGATGACGCTGCTCACAATAAAGATTGAGAAAATTGGGCTGAAGGATGCGGGGCAGTGCATCGACCCTTACATGACCATCAGCGTCAAAGGTACAGACGCCTCAAACGCGCCGTCGAACGGGCAGAGACGCCAAACGGGCCTTAAAGAACACGCTCTGTTTCTCCTCCTGCAGATCTGAACGGCCTGGATTTGAATCCAGTGCAGGACACGCCCGTGGCCACCAGAAAGGAAGACACCTACATCCACTTCAGCGTGGACGTCGAGGTCCAGAGGCACGTGGAGAAGCTTCCAAAAGGTAGAGAGTGACCGGTCGGACGATCTATTGTCAAAGGGGTTTGGGTTGCAGCCAGTAACAGGGGGAGCTGCCACCGGTCAGTTAATATCAGCAGAATATTTAGATCTGACACCTCGTGCCAACAATTCATCCATCCATCCATCCATTATCAATACCGCTTATTCCCTCATGGGTTCGCGGGGGGAACTGGAGCCTATCCCAGTGGTCAACGGGCGAGAGGCAGGGTACACCCTGGACAGTCCGCCAGTCCATCGCAGCCAACAATTCATATTCATTCATTTATTTTGATTAATTTATTTTATTAGTTTAATGGAATACTCAGTGTCACGTCTTCACTTGTAATATCTCTACTAATTCCAGGAGCAGCTATCTTCTTTGAATTCAAGCACTACAAGCCCAAAAAGAGGTTTACCAGCACAAAGTGTTTTGGCTTCATGGAAATGGACGAGATCAAACCGGGGCCGATCGTGATCGAACTGTGAGTGTCTCTCAGACAGGTCGAGCCTTTTGGGCGCGAGCGGCGAAGTGAACGCTGCTCCCCGTTGTGTGTTTCAGGTACAAGAAGCCCACAGACTACAAGAGGAAGAAGCTGCAGCTCCTCACAAAGAAGCCACTTTATCTCCATCTGCATCAAACGTTACACAAAGACAGCTAAGTGCGAGCGCGTCCGGCCGCCCTCACGACCCCCCCCCCCCCCCCCCCTTTCCCCAAGCCACAAAAAGGGGGGGCGCCCCCCCCCCCCCCCCCCCCCCCCCCCCCCTCCTCCACGTGCCAGTGCAGCAAAATGTGGCGTCGTCTCCCCCTTCCTCATCGCATCCAGCAATACCGTATAAAGCTGTGGGTTTGACGAAAGAAAAGTGAACTGAGCCAGTCACATCAGCTCACACGCAGATTTTGATATCCTTTGAATTTAAGTGCGTTTCATGCCAGTTGCAGGAACTCCTACGAGAAACCAAGAAAAAAGGTGTATTTTTTATTTTTTTTTTACAACTCTCTGAGGGGTTCCATAAGCCAGCAGTAGCAGTTTGAACCAGCTCGTATTCTGTCTTCCTTACAAAACGTACAGATGTTTGGGAAAGCGGGTCACAACCTCGGTCTGGGCTGGAAATAAAAGCCAGCAAAACATTAACCAAACCAATTTTTTATTTTATTTTTTTTTATGAAAAAGAGCAGAAGAATGAGTCCATTGAGACCTGGTTCGTTGAAATCCTGTGCAGCTCCTTTTTAATAAAAAATGTGACTCAGTAAATGGCAGAATAGTTCCAAAACTTCTACTGTGTTTCAAAAGGAAAGCAGCTTTAAAAAAAAGGTTTTTGGAGTTCAAACTGCAAAGCTTTGCGCCTAATACGGGCTGACAGACTCAAAATATGACGAAAATAGTACAGAGTTTAGTCTTCTGTGTTCAGGGCCTAAAAGCTACAAATCTTTGTAAACCTGCTGAGGAAAAACTCAACATCAGACATCTTCTGAATATATAGAATGGTAAAACATTAACAGCGTAGCCACAACAAGTGCTGATTACACACAGTTAAGGAGTGTTATTATCTTTTACAGTGTTTACCTAATCATAACTCATTAAAAAAAAAATTACACCTGTTTCAGGCAATTGAATGAAAATCGTCATGTTCCCCCAGTTAGTTTTAAGGCCTCATTTTGTGTCAAATGGTGAAATAATGGGAGGTGTTTTAAACAGGATGTGTTTGATGAAAAGGCCTCTGACATTAACTTCTTGTGCCTGAACGTTGAATATCCCATCTCCACTTTTGTTTTTTTGCCTTATGTTCCACATTATCATTTTTTAACTGCTTTAATTTATGGGAAAATCTGTATTATTTAATTTTGGGTGCCTCATACGTGTGCGTTCTTGTGGTTATTGTGATGGAACTCTCGACATGAAGTACAGACGAGTTTCTTTTTCTTTAGAGATGATGCCCAAAACCTCATGAATTCACACAAATAGACCAGACTCAGCAAATAGCTCCCTAATTCAAACAATTAGAATATGACCAACATGTCACTGGGCCCTCAGGTGGGAACTAATTTAAATCTGACGGACGGAAATTGAACACTGTGCTGGAGGGGTTTGACTCGGCAGCAAATTCAAAGGTGTACTTATTTTTACTACACAAGCTTTTCTACATTTTAACAAGTTGGACATTTCTTATTCTGAAATAGCATAAGCAGGTACAGTACATTATAAATGGTGACTGTTGTGTTAATGTTTGGTCAACAGTACGGTTTGTGTTCACAGTGCTTCAGTGTGTGTTTCATAAAGGGGATCCTGGTGCTGCCTGGTGGCCGTGCTGCCTCTGGGGACCATTGTTTTCTCCAAGTTTTCTAATCCAGTGTTCATTTGCAGATCCAATGCTTATGTTTATTCAGTTATATCTTAACGGGCAGATTTAAAATGTCTCGCTTGGAGTAACTGTTCATTCCGTGGAAGCAGATGTTCTCCACTACGACATTTACGTTGTAATATTTGCTTCCAGACTTTATTTTTGTAACATGACAAAATGCCTGACTGTAAATGAGTTGTAAGATACACTAACTGATGAGTTTAACGGTTAACGTGCGTTTGGTTTTGTTGACAGATGGATGGAAACTTTATCAAACGTTTACAATGTTTTTCATTTCTAATAAACTACAAATGAGGCAGTTCGGTGGCTGGTTTTGTAGTTTCATGCTACACCTTTTGAGTGGTTACCTTGAACTGGTCGACAGGGTTTCTCCCTCATTTACTTGCTAATAGCTGTTACATAATCATATTCCTTTCGGCCCTTCTTTTGTGGCTCAATTCCCTCTCCTGTGCATGCTCATTTAAAAGGCAAAATAAAGAGCATGTAGGCATGAATCCGCCGGCCAGAGCTCCACGTTCAGTGTTCACAGCTGTGAAAATCTCATTTACAAATCTGGAATATTTGATATAAAAATACCCGAGCCAATCTACCCTAAATCTTTCACATTCAATCTTATGACCAAATTATCTGCTGAGCCAAGAAGCAAGTAAAGCATTGTCATCCAAACCTGCTCCCATTTTCTTTTTTCCTTGAAATAAGCAGAGGCCAATAAAACTGTAGCATGTAGTGAGTGTTTGTTCTCATCTTTGTAGCAGCACAGATGTATGCCTTATTTTTTTCCCCTTCAAAGGCTTCTTCCCAGCTCACAAACTTGAAGACAGAAAGTATGTAAAGAGCACTTCAGGCTGATAACATAATGCTGACAGCATATACATTCTTTATTATTAAAAGTACTACCGACATAGTAAAATAAGTTATACATCTGGCCATCAAATTACACATCTGCCTCACAGTTTGACCTGAAGCAACAACTTTGGGAAACTGTAATCCTGAAATGCTATAAACTAAACCTCCCTGGTTCTCCTTTTTTTTAATAATTTCCACAGGAAATGGCATTCAAAATTTGCTCATTAAAAATCATTGCTATATATTTTTAAAAAGAACAGAAATGAAAATCCTCTGGCATATACGGAAGTGTTATTGCACAGTAGGCTGTTAAGTAGCAACCCTCTCATCGATTTCAGACACATAATTATTGATGATTCTTTAATCTAAAGACGTCACAGTTTTTTGGGTGTTTTTTTTTTTAATGACAGAAATATGAAAATCATCATGACCTATGTTTGGACTGGGTCTGGGCTGTTGGGACAGTTTAGGGGCTGAAGATGTGGTCAAGTCTTTTGCCATGGCTGGTGTGTTAAGGCTGGGCCACGGGTGGCCTTGCTGAGTCCTGAGGGGCCTCCTGCTTCACGCTGTGTTCCTGACCGGGGCCGCCCGCTGAGTTCTGGAGGGCACTGGGTGCAGGCTGACCGTATACCCCACCGGGGTGAACCGAAGGGGGGGGGACACCCGGGGGCAGGTCCATGTGTGGGCTGGGGTGGCGCATCCCTGGGAAGGGGATGGGTGGACGTGGTCCCAATGGCCCACGGACTCCTTGTGGGCAGAAGTGAAGGAGGGAGATAACGGTGACGCATCATGAGGAAAAAGCGATATGCGACACAGAGTGAAATATTTTCCAGTATTTAACTGAACAATCCCCCACAAACTTTCCTCCCTGCTTATGCTGCTATATTACAATTTATCCCTTAATAGTAATCATGATTTTGTCTATAATGATCACAATCCCACACCCGTTGGCTGACAACAGAAGGTTAGTGCCACACCGTTCATGGCCTCAAAAAAACAGAAAACAACACAATGTGCTGAAAATAGAACTAGAGCCTGAACATACCAGGTGGTGGAGGCATTGGTCCCAGGTGATGAGGTGGAGGGGGACGGAAATGTGGTGGCGGCGGTGGTAGTGGACCCCGAGGATCTAGAGGTCCAGGCCCTGGTCTGGTGTGGAATAAGTGTCCGTTGGCGGGTCGAGGTCCAAACTCTCCTCCCATTGGCCCAAGCGGGGGCATTCCCGGGTGTCCATTGGCTGGTAGAGGAGGACCGTGAAGGGGGGGAGGAAGAGGGCCGGGTGGGAGATGGTAGGGGCCCGGCCGTGGCGGCCTGTAGGGTCCGGGTGGGGGCAGACGGCCGAGAGTTCCAGGAGGGAGCAGTGGGTCATGAGGTCCGGGGCCAGGATGGGGCCCGGGAACCATGGGGCCGGGGGAGTCCCTGATAGGCGACGCCAGGAACGACCCGGGTCCCTGAAAACAAGAGGAGAAAATGAAATGAATGCAATTTTCCAGTGAGTTTTGACTGAGTGAAATGTTAGCCATGCAGAAATAATATCCACAAACCACACGAGGTGTATTCAGACAGGCTCAATCATGTGACCAGCAACCACACACAATGATTATTGGAAGGGAAAAAAAAAAAAAAAGGGACTTGACCCCTGACCAAAAACCCAAACGTTCCAAAACACACTGTGGCCTCAGTTTAGGTTTGCCACTGCAGCCCGTGCTGTGAGAGAAAATGAACCCACACACTCAGCCTAAAAACATTTTTATATCAGCCACAAAGTTCCTTTATTCATGTCCGTTTTCTAAAAATCCAGGAGGGAAGCAGTGCTTGCATACACCTTCACACCAAGCACCGGGACTGCACAGCCTCTATACTCACAGGCTCTGGACTTTCTGTGGAAGCTACAGCCTGAGTTTCGGCTTTTATCTGTGGATCTATGGCCTGTGTCTGTTTCAGGGTAAGAATAAACACAGCTGAAACGTAGGAAGATGCTCTAAACATGAAGGGGAGAGGTGTCTGATATGAATAAAGGACTTACGGATCCATCCATGTTGGCAGGAGACGAGCTTCGGGGCCCCATCATGTCTGAATGAGAAGGAACAGAAGCATTACAAGCAGGGTAAAGGAATATCTCTAAAATACGAGGAGTGCAGAGGATGTGCTCATACCAGGGATGTGTTTATTTTCAGGGTAACGACCATGTGGATCTGATGGAGGTCGAGGTCCTAAGGGGGTATAAAAAAAAAAAAATGTTAAAAACACTCAGGGCAACATCTGTGGAGCATTTCCAAGTGAAAAAAAAAGAGGAGGAAACAAAGAAAATTAAGACACAGAGATCAATTTAAGTTTTTATGTTAACACAGATACACACTCAGGGAACTCTGTATTGACTCCAGTGTTCATAGTGAGGAGCTGACAGACAAGAAAGAAGACTTCTTAATTTAAGTGAAAATGAACAAAACAAATAACAAAACAACGGGTACCGGGGGGTGGGGGGCAGGTGCAGGATGACGAAACACACAAGCAGGAAATGAAAGGGAGGATCAAGGAGACAGAGCTGAAAGGAAAAGTAAAGTCCGGTGTAAAAGGAGACAAGAGATTTGGGAGAATGAGGTTGTAGCAGAGGGGTGATGTCCAGCTCTGGCTCAAAGTAAAGTAAATGACGTGATCCACTTGGACTCACCATACGGGTCAATTCGTCGCCCGACTGGGGCGGAGGGAGGGCGCCTGGGACCCTCGATCATTAAAGGAGGGGACGGGGCTCCCCCGCTCACAGGAGAGGGCCCGTATGAATCACCTGTTACGATCAAACCATCCATTTAGCAAAGCAAAAGAAAAGCAACACGAGCAGTAAAGACGTCCTCGGTGCAGGCCGGGCTTTGCAGCAAACACGCTGGCACCGGAGTGACACGTAAATGTGGAATCCCTTTGTTTAGCTAAATCGGGTTATGAGGACTGTACGGAAACGGCATCCTCTCCTGCAGTTCTGTGGGGTGAAAACAGAGCAGCTGGCTGAGTGCGGCCGGCTTACCTTGGCGAGGGCCCGCGGGCTGACCGGAGTTGGGTCTGAAGAGAGGAGCCCGCCGCTCGTTCAGCTGCGAGGTGAGCACTTCCAGCCTGTGAACGGCAAGAGAACTGCTCAGTTCCAAACAGTCACGCAAAAATAGAGACATAAAAAAACTGAAGTCTCGTAACAACGCGCTAAAGTCCCAGTTATGCTCACTTTTCGCGCAGCTTGGACCCTTCCAGCTTCTCCTGACTCAGGGCTCGCTCAGCATTCCGAGCATTCACCTGGACACAGCGGGCACATTTAGTTTGCAGCGGGACTCACGGCACACATCCATTTGTTCACGCTGCTGTATGTGAACACATGCTGCGCTACATACCCAGTTGGAGTGAGTTTTGTTTTCCTGCTCTTTAATCTGAAAGAAAGAAAAAAAAGGAAAAAAGACAAATCAGCCACTGTTTGTGATTTTTCTTTCCTCTTTTTCCATTCGCTCCGACACTGTGACATTCCTACCTGCTCTTTATAGACCTCTTCCGTCTTTTTCATCTGCTCCTCCATTTCATTGATGCGCTGCCTTAAGACCTTCACCTGCTCCTCTGCTTCCAGAGCTTTCCCCCCCACCTCAGACAGCAGGCTCTCTTTGCTGCGTCGATCCAGCTCCTCCTTTGTTAATTTCCTGTGAGGCAGCAGGAAAAAAATTCTCCTAGAACACATTTCCATTTCAAAAGATAACAGGATTTATTTATTTGTTTATGCTATGCCTGATTGAGTTCAGTGCCGATATAATAACATTTCCATGTCAGAAATCATTCCAGGTCTGCAGCTCTCAGGGTCTGACAACTTACTGCTGTAGTGCGTTTTCCTTCTGCTGGTACATTTCCACCATGATTTCGTTTTTCTGCTGAAGGATCTTAAACTGGTTTTCGACGTGGCTCTTCTCGCCTTTGAGAGCTCCGATTGCATGTTCCAGCTCCTGGTGTTTTTCTGTGGCAGCATGAGATAATGTGTTTATTCTGTGCATTTGCTTCAAACCTGTCCTTTTTTACCCACCCCATTAAAGGCTTTACATACCTTCTAGCTCCTTCCTAGACTTTTCTACATCGAGCAGTTTTGTCATGAAGCGGTCGCGTTCCTCTTCAACGACAGTGAGAGTGGTTTGAACCTGGGAAGTGAATAAGGACATGAAAATACAACATCTGGCAAAGACATAATCACATTCGAAATTTGGTACAATGAGAACCTGAAACAGGTGAAATCTTACCCTGGATACATCCATCATTTGTTTGATTCTGTTCTGTATGGCTGTTCTCTTATCTGTTAAAGAAACTGAAAGGACACCAAGCACTTTGTTTAGAAAAAAAAAAGCTGTCATTATTTAAACAGCTTAAAACAACTTCAAGTCAAAACTACTACAAATATCTGCATGCGAGTCCTTCTTAAAGCTTTATTAGTATGACTCACCGGCTGCAACTTCACCATTGGCTAACACTTTGGTGTCCCCTTTTTGCAAATCACAAGCGTCCAAGTCTGACAGAAGCTCCGACAGCACCTGCCAGGACACATTGGATTTTTTTCCCCAGGGGTGAGAAAGTATTTGGATAAGTCAAACAGCAATGTGATGGTAAATCAAGAGGAGGCTGACCTCGACATTGTGATCTTTGAGCACGACAGAATCCTCCAGCTCTTTTTGGGCCCTCTGATAGACTTTAATCTTTTCGTTCAGCTCCTTATGTTTGTCCTCCCAGCCTCTAATAGTAGCCTTGAGCTGTGAAAAGATCAAAATATCTGTTGGAGATATCCAGTTTCTGCGATTTATTCAAAAATAATAAGTCCAATTTTTCTCTTACTGATTTGTTGTCCTCCTTTAAGATAGCAAATTCTCTCTCCAAACATTTGTGCTGAGCGTTTCGTGCATCTTCTCGAATCTTGGCCTCGTCCAGGAGAATAGTCGTCTGTTGGGAAAATAAGCAAACCAAAATTATTACTACATGTGTACTCCACATAAACTAAAGGGTTACAGAAATAGTCTTAAATGTAAAATATTGTGTGGGGTGATACCTTGGAGAGTGCTTCTTGAACCTTCTTCCTGCCCACTTGAAGCTTCTCATTTGACTTTTCTAATTTTTCAATCTGTTAAAATACAAAGAAAACATCATGAATTTGTGAAAAAAGAGCAAATCATGAAGGAATGTGTAAAATAAACAAAGAAAAAGTTACCCTGCTTTCATTTTGCATACAGATGGTGCGCTCTTCTTCGAGCAGTTTTGCGTATTTGTGTCGTTCCTCAGCTAACTGTTCATTCCGCTTCTCTGCCTCTAAAACTTTACCCTGCAAAAGGCAAAATAAAGGAAGTCACCATTAGTCAGCTATTGTAAAAGTGGTGTGAGTGACACATAACATAAGTAAATCATCTACAGGTGCAGTCAGCGTAACAGTTTGTACTACAAGCAAATAACTGGGTCATTTCATTTCTAATGCTTACCTCCAAGTCCTGCATCTTTTTCATTGTGGAACTGACTGTTTTCTTTGATTGTTTCTGGTTTTCTTTCAGTTGTTCAGTCTGTAAAAGAAGAGGAAAATATAATCCTTAGTGATTCTGGAAGAATTTTTAAAGTATTGATATTTCTTTATGGATAATTGATCAGCTTTATCTCCTTCACCTGTTTCTGGAGTTCAGATATTTTTGTATGAGCATTGTTCTTTTCCTTTTTGAGAGTCTCAATTTGATCTGCAAGTTTTTTTTCATCCACTTGTTTTTTACCCCAAAAAAATAAAAGAAACATTAAGCAGAGATTCACACAATTCCATTTTGAATAAATAAATTACATGAGAATAAGTGAAAAATTACCAAGGTATTCCCTTTTCTTCACCTGGAAATAAAAAATAAATCAAGTAAGTACAAATGTAACGATCAATACAGTTTATATAACAACAATAGCAGAAAAACACTGTTGGAAAGTCTATCCTAACCCTAAACTTACATAAAAAACAAAACAGAACAGACCTGTACTTCTGTCAAATTCAAAAAGTTATTTAGAGTTAAAAAATAGCAATAACCACAACACTTACAGCCAGTACAGTCCTCCAAAAGAAGAGGGTGAAGGTCAATATTCCAACAAAAGCAGTGATGATGACAGCCTGCCAAGGACAGCCAAATAAAGTTTCCCCTGGCTTCCATTCCTCTGGTAGCAAGGAAATCATCTGCAGCAAAAAAAAAAAAAGTGAAAATGATTTATCCATGACAATGAACAAAATGACAGGGGGGAAATGTAAATACACAATAACAACATTGTTATTTACATGTATCTGAAGACAAAGACAATGCATATTCATTAACCATGATGTGATCAGTAAAAGGTCCAGGAGAGTTCCTTCACTCTCATCATGCCAATCAAGAACATTAACATACAATTACAATTCGAGCATTTTCTGCACAACAATGTAGTTTGTGTCAAAACAATATGGTTTGACATATAAAACTGCTTTTAAAGGGATACATTTTTGCACAAATAGACCTTTTAAAATATATTTAAAAAGTAGCCCTGCTGAAATGTGACAAGACAGGAAACAAGTGTGTGCAATTCAAACAACTTTCTAATCCAGACACAAGGTTTTCAAAACAACTGATTTCAGCATCCAGTTTCAAAATTGAATTCCAAACTAACTGAGCAAACCATACATATTTGAGTCAATATTTAGATATTCTAATACTAACAACGAGTTTAGTGAGGTTGGTCCATCTGTCACTTGCTTATCAACACGTCAGCAGGCCATTACAGCATGATTAAAACTGGACATGAGGGTTTAATCCCACAATTTGAAAAACTTACATGTTGCAGTTCTTTCAGAAAAAAGACATATATGTGATCTGGCTCCATTCCAGGTGGCTTGAGCAATGTATCACTTTCCATGCTCGTGCTTTATATCAAAACGTGGAGCTAATCAAACGCTATTTGACAGGTCTAAGCTACCCTGCTAGCAGGTTAGCTAGCGTCAGGATAATCTGGACAGCTACAACAGGCAGTAGTTAGTCTAATTCGAAATCAAAACAAGAGGTACAAACGCCGTAAACGTAAACAGAGTCGAAAACTGATAGTAAGCAATATGTGACGACAAGGGCTTGCTAAACGGGCAAATGAGCCGTCATTTACTACCGCTATCCATACACAACCGACGTTAGCTTAGCTGGGAGTTGAAAATGCGGCCAACAAATTTACAGCATGATATCTATGAAAATAAAAAACGGGGCAAAAGCTGCAAGTATCGGATGGTACGAGGTCTACAACACGAAGGCGGTATGAGAAATTTCTTCCGAGTAAAAGCCCACCGGTGTCGCCAGCTCAGCACCGGCTGAGTTGAACTTCAGCCTACAGCTCGACAGCCAACATAGGAGGGGGAGGGCCGTGGGACGTTCAGGGGAAATTGGAGACTCCCAGTAAGCATCTCAGGCGGGCAGTTGATGCTATCAAAGCACATCTGATGCAGAGGCCTCAAATACCATTGAAGTGAGCCTCGTACAAACAAGTATTACGTGGCACAACACCGTTACCTGACAAACCTTTAAATATGTCCATTTTATCCTCAATATGAGGAGCGTTCTACAGCAAATATTCAACTATTGTCAACATAACACATGCTGATTGGCAGCCACCCCCCTAATGCTAATCAAATGTATCCAAGTTGATCACTTTCAAGATTTCTCTGCAGTAATGGGGTAGATGTAGCAGATGTGAAATTCAAACATTTGGATTACTGGTCCAATTTTGTTCCCAACTTTATCAAAGAACTACACATACATATACAATTCATTCCTTAGCAACAACACTTATACTACATTGTATTAGAAGTGACCTATCAGATCTCTCAAAAATCAAGCTGCCTTTTTTAATCATCAGTCTTACCACTGTGGTCCACTCTGTAGTTTTATTCTTGATTATTGAGAAGATGCAGCCCATATAAACGACTCCAGTTGAGAATGATCCAACTTCTTCGTGCATTTCAGTCACTTGCTCCATGGAGCCCAAGGATCCTACAGGAACAAAACTTGCATTTTAGTGCTATCAGTTTCATTATAAACAGTCAAAAATATTATTCTGCATACATTCAGAAGAAGCCTGAAATCTTGACATATTTCTGGATTAACAATTCATCTCCACGAGAAAGCTGAGCAAACAACTGAGCATCTTTTGTCAACACAACATGCATGCTAAGCAAACACTACCGCACACAAATGATCGACTGACGCATTAAAAGAATGTTCAATTGAAACGGTTGCCAAGATTACTGACCTAAAGAGGAAGGCTCAAGCTCTGCAGCGAGCCCCGTGTCTGAGGGGCTCTCCAGGGTTGCTTGAGGGAGCTTTTGCATCTCATCTGACGTGGCAAAGTTTGGCTGATTGTCCTTGTTCCTATTGAAATGTCCACTATCTTCCTCCACACTGACATCTGGTCTGGTGGGTACAATCTTCAGCTCCTCTTCAGGATTATCTGGCCCCATTTCATGATTCACAAGTGTGAGGTTATCGTCCTGATTGGGTTCAGGTATGTTGTTGATTACATCTTCCACAGTGTGGGGTTTTTCTTCTGTAGCTTTCAATAGATGTTCATCTACAATGGAAACACAGACAATATATCCCATCTGAAATGAGGCACTAAACAGTTTTTTTTAACTTTCTAATTTCTGATTCCACTCCGACTGCCATGTTCTGCAGGAGAGACAATGAAATCTCAATTATCATCATTCACTTTTAGGTTAGTCCTGTTAGTCCTAAACCAGTTATATATATATTTTTTTTTCTTGGCTCATGTAAGAGGAGGGGAAACAAATGCTACCACCCTTACGGGGTTGTTCTGAGCCTCCTTCCTTGTAGGAGGATAAAAGCCAACCCATCCCATATTGCTTGACTGAGTAAACAAAATAAATGCACTGTGGGAAAAAGCAGGACGCTATATATTTGAGACTTATCTGGTTACCAGGTGTGAACCAGCATCCCTTTTAGCTTAATGAAACGTAGACTGACATATCTGGAAACTAGATGCTGGTCAGAATGGTGCCTGACAGCCTGCCCGTTTTGGTGCCGTACAACATTTTCTCCTCTCACTCAGTCAGTGAATCATAAGCTGATGAAATATGCTGCAGTGCGAAAGCCCAGATAATCAGTACTTTAAACAGAATGTGCAAATGCTTTCAGACTCCTCCAGCCAGAGCCGAGCGATCCAAGACGTTAAAAACACGTGAAATTACGGGGGAAAAAAATAACCTACCTTGCTGATTATCTGGCACTTTCTCTGTTGCTAAAGGTGCACTGTCACTGGCGGTTGAGTACTTTTGTCGCAGGCTGAATGCCATCTCCTGAAAGTTATCCAGGAGTTCTGTTTCCTCGTCTAAGCTGCTGCTGTCCACGTCTTGGCTGGGGTCTTGTTTTGAGTCCCGGCTGTCGAGCATCTTTTCGATCTCGTCCAATATGGTGTTCTCAGACACCTCGAGGATGCTCTCAAGTGCATCCTCGATGTCCTGTGTGCTGCCGGTGTGAGACAGGCGGGTCGCCCGCAACTCCGTGTCCAGGTCAGCAAACATGGACTCCACTCTGAAGAGATTGTTCAGGCCCAAGAGCTTCAGGACCCGCTCTATGTTTTCCTCTGAGAAGTGGTTCCTCAGCAGATTCAGTCTCATTATGCTTTCGCTGTATTCTGGCTCGGGTGGTGAAGGGGTTGTTTCCGGGGAGGCTTTATCCGTGTATGCATCATCCGACTGTGAGAAAGACAGAGCATTTTCATCTTCGAGTAGCTGCTCTTCCTCTCCATACTTTTCCTCCTCCACCTCTACATTCTTTTCATCCCTCTCCTTGGTTTGTGGCTGCTCGTGCATTTCCGGTTCCTCGGTAGATAATCGTGTAAAGCTGCTATTGCTTTCGAAATCTTTCACTAAATGGTCATCTGTTTGATGAAGTGGTCTGTCACCTTCTACGTTTGTCTCATCTCTGACATCTGAATCATTGGACGGCCTCTTTTCAGCAGAAAGATCCTGATCCTGTTCACTTGTGTGAATGGCTGACTCCTGGTTCGTCACAGTTTGGTTTTCTGAAGACTGCTCTCCTACATCACCACTGTCCTGCCTTTCTTCATGATTTTCACGCAAATCCGAGTGCTCCAGAGACTCATCTTCTTGGTCCTGGGTTGGTTCGTGTCCTATTTGAACATCTTCACTATTAGGATTGTTTTCCACATCATCTTGCAATACTGGATCTGCTGAGTTGCTACTCTGGTCTGTTGGGGAGACAACTGGCTCATCATCAGGCTTCGGTGTCTCCAACTGAGGTTCCTGATGTCCAACTAACCTTTTAACAGTCTTTTCTTCGTTATCAACCAAAAGTTGGTCTTTCTGAGGTTCTGCTGAAAATGGTACAGTTTTCTCAAAGGTTTGAGAGATTTTTGAGTGGTTTTCCTCTTCGTAATCTTCATTGTCATCGTCATCTTCATCTGAACTCTCATCTCCTGCTGTGGTCTCTCCCCCGGTCACAACTTTAAACACAGCATCTCCAAGTGTTGACCACATGCTTTTGTCCTCTGTCGTCTTTGGTTTATCGTCCTGGGTTGTCTGTGAACCTTCATCCTTTGTAAGGTAATCTAGTTTTGGGGTGTCGATGGTTTCTTCAGAAAAAGAGAGCCGTAGAACCTCCTCTCTATTGTCTGTTACATCTTCTGGCCGTTCTTCCACATCTTCTTCATCTTCCTCCTCATACGGTGTCACTTTTGTCGTGATTTCATCATCAGTTGTGACGGCATCAAACGTTGTTCCCAGGGTAGTTTTCAGCTCCGGGATCTGCACTCGCTCAGAATCAGACACAGGTTCAAAATCCCTCTTGGGTGTCGATTCCGACTCAGATTCAATGGCTCCATTCTGAACTTCCCCATCATCTGATGCCTGTTCCAGAGAAGAGCTTGGCTCCTGTTTTTGCTCAAGTTTTTCTCCTGTAACTACAGGAACATCCTCCGTTACCCCATGTGCATGTTCTGTTTCATCAAGAACATCTTCTGTGTCAGACTCAAGGTTTTTCATCAAAGGTGAGTCCATTGATGTGGCACGCTCAGATAACGAGGCACTTGGATCGTGTAATTCATCAAGATCTTCTGAAAACTCCCCATGCTCAGTTTGTTTTTCACTTGTAGTTACTTCTTCTTCTGATGGCTGTGGTTCTCCTTGTTCGCTTCCTTCTGCTTCAAATTGGGTGATTGTTTCATTATTTTGACTGTCCTTGTCCTCTAAAGACAAACCTAAGAGCAGGTCTATATCGTAGACATCAAACTTGCTAAATCCAGTATCGAAACAGACAAAATCTGTTTCCTGAGAAAAAGACAAAAGGGAAACAAAAAAGTGTGAGAGTACTGGTGGTAAATGAACAACATAATCTAGGATGTATTTCTTTTGTCATACCTCTGTCGGAATTTCAACTTCTTTGTCAGTGTAAATGTGGTTTACAGCCAGAAAGTCCTTTGGGAAATAGCCAAAATTGTTTCCAACCTATTAGGGAGAGGATATGTTGAAAACCAAATGAAGTCCGATTGTGAATGAGCGTTTACAACACTGTACTTACACTTCCAGCCCACATATCAGCTCTTCTTCCGGACAGTTTGTAATAAACATATACAGTTTCAGATTTCTTGAACGATAGGAAACGACAATCAGGTCCTGAGAAATCTTGAACAGCTTTTCCCCGACACAGAAGCACTGGAAGAGAGAAAACACTGTCACAGCTGTTGGTTTTCACACAAGAACCTACTTTTTTCAAATCAGGCTATGGTATGTTTGTTATATGACGATTATGTCGCCCTTTGAAAAACAGGGATATCAACAAAACTGGATATTGCTTAGACACTGCTGTCTGTCCTCACACATTTCTGCACTGGCTTGTGCCATCTTTACTGTTTTATAAGCCTATCTATGTATTTTTTGATAAGTCACCTTATAATCAACAGTAGCAGATGTGTTGTAGATAAGTCAATGCTTCCATTCCCTGTTAATGTTGACTCTTAATCTCCTCTGGCTGATATCTGATAACTGTCAAGTAAATTGTTGCTCTGCACCAGTTCATGGCCCAATATTTCCTTCTCTAAACTTCGCTAGGCCAATACAGATAATGTAGACCGTTGGTCTAAAGCAAACTTAGCAACCGAATTAAATAGAGGTCAACAGTCGAGCTAATGCGCTTAGACATGAGTACGAACCCGGCCTGCCCTCTATCATGGTGTTTGAGCTCCACTAACAATAGCTGACCAAACCGGCCGGTGGCTAATATGCTGCTAACGTTAGCTTCTGCTTCCTCCCGGCGAGGCAGGCCGGAGCAGGCAGCCAGCTGGCCAGCACAGCCCCGAGTCTGAGCAATAACCCCCTTTTTTCCTACGCTAACACCACATTACCCGGTTTTCACTGAGCATCACAAGGCCAAATTGCCTTAGAACAACCACCAGTGGAAGCCAAGGTCGCAAATATCGACTGGCAACAGGTCAAGAGATAAGCGCAGTTTATGGCTAGCTGTCTTTTTGGGGATGGGGCGGGAGACGCATCCTCAAAGCCCCCTTGAGCTACCGGTCGAACTTACTGCTGCACTCCTCGTCGGCGCATCTTTTAAAGTCGGAGAATCGTTTCTCCAAGGCCGCGGTTGAGATAAAGTTGAATAAAAGTAATAAAAAGCCTTGTCTGTAGAAGTGTTTGGCTGCCATGCTGGCAGTTTCGTAGCCTGGCTTCTTGACTCCGCCGCTGGAGCCGACACGTCAGCAGACAGGATCCGGCTGGGAGGAGGCTAGGAGAGGGTTTCACTGGATGGATTAGTCCGCCTTCAGGTCCCCAGGAAAGCAAGTGCACCCACAAACAGGAGACCGTTGTCGTCTTGTGTGTGAGTGTGTGAGCGTGTGAGTGTGTGTGTGTGTGTGTGTGTGTGTGCGTGTGCACATTTCTCTAGAATTATCCAGCGTTTTCGCCACATTTAACACAGTGAGAGCGGAAGTTTTCATGCCTGCTCGGTGTTGAGTTTCAACACTTTCCTCCCCCTCCGTGAATCGTTTGCAAGCACCGATCCAGTTTTAGGCCAACCAGAGTCTGACAGCATGGAGAAGGCTGCCTTTAATTTGGCATTATATAATGAGAAAGCAAAACACACCCTATTTCCCAAGAAATAAGAAGAACAAACTAATATAATCAAGTGTTACTTTTTTATCAATTAATTAGACTGTATTTATTAGTGATTCTGACACACAAAAACCTGTAAGTTGCCAGTTTTGTTTTAAGGACATGTATACCTGTTAGACAATTTCATACTTCATTGAATATGTATGCATCATGACTATTCAATATTTCAACATTTTTTTAAACTTCTTTGGGTTATTAAGGGCCGTCTGATTGTATTCAGTTTCAGATGTAGAGTTGAAATGAAAAATGTATTAAATGTATCATTATTGCTTAGATGTTTTTAGTTTTATTTCCACTCTGCGATAAAACATAACAAAGCTTTACCAGAAGACTATGCACATGAAAACTAAACAAGCTTTAACTCATAGCACAGTAAAAACTTTACACGTCTAGATTTATGACAGATGCTGTTTTTATTGCTTTTTATTCTTGCTTATATCATATACTTGGTGAGACACATTTTCGATAAAGTCCTGTGACAGTTTTCAAAAAGCAAATACAGAAACCTGAGAAAGAAACAACAACACACAAGCTGTGGACACAGCACACCTGTAGGTTGAGTCATTGCTGCTATTACAGGTTATTTTATTTGACCTTTGGTGAGTGTTGTGTGAGCAAAATGTGATGCCTTGATATCTAGCAACAACCTTGGTGATGCTGGATATCATAGATTATAACGATACTTTTTATCATATCTGTGCAGTTAAAATGTTGTGGATTTTGTTGTGCATGATAACTCTTACAGCAGTTTTTTGGAAGATTTCAACTCAATCTTAAACCCCCCTCCCAAAATAAATAAATACATACAAAAATAAAAGTCCAAACGGCCTTTCACCTCTGCAAGTGAAAGTTCAATTAATTGCTCCGCCTTTTCCGGTTGAAGCAGCCAATAGGCGTGCAGCTCTGTCTTCCCCTTCCTGAGTTGGGCGAAAGGCATGGCAAAAACAGTCACACGATACACAATTAAAGTGCAGAGGATTTATTTGCTCGAATAGCCGTGTGCTATATTATAGCCTCGATTGGTTGGCTTTGGACCATCAGAAACAAGTATCTGGGCTTTACAGACAGGTGGTACGTAAACTCTGGTTTAGATGAGAGCAAACTTACTTCTTTGTATGTAAAGTATTATTTTATCTATGACATGTAAGTTATAGGGCATTCCCAGAAATGTGAAAACCCTATCTACGTTGTAATATAGTCTTGAAATAATGTTTAAGATGCTAAATGTCAGTTTTGCATGGTTGATGTCTTAATTACATGGAAAAAGCACGTATTTATATAAACGTGTCATGCATTATACATCGATAACTGCATGTTTGGGGTTAATGGCAGTTGTGGAATATATGAATGCTAAGATGTCTGTCTCAGGATGGGAAGTATAAGATTAGTAAATGCACAACATCGTTTGCTTAAATGTGAAAACCAAACAACTGAATATCCAAATATTGAGTTGGATCTTTTTTTCCAAATTGTTATGAAAATTCCAGATCTAACTGCCCGTTTGCTGTTTAGCATCCCTTATCCCTGCAATGTGATATTCATAATTTTTTCCCCCTGATTATATTACTTAGTTTATACCTTTTTCAGATGCAAGTTAAAGTTTTTTTTATGTTGACAACAAATCACAACACAGATGTGTGGTATGTGCAATTATCTCAGTTTTTCATGAGAGGTATTATGAAACGTCAAAGTAAAAAAAAGTACAAGTATAATTATTACTATAAGTTGGATTTATGGTATGCCTTCACCACGTTCTTTTGACATGACTACATATCTGCTTAAAAAAGAAAATGAATGAATATTGACAAGGGTTTGAGGGTTTGAAACCTCCTGAAGGCACTTCTGTTCCTGCAGGTGCCTTGGCTGCATACCCAAGTCTATGAATACGGGTGACTGAAGTATGGATGACTGGGATGATCACCTGGAGCACCATGAGGTGTTGGAGGATGGTGATGACTCCTCAGATGCCAATTCTCGACGAGGGGGGAACAAAAGGAAGGTCCTGCGGCGTAAGCGCATGCATGAAGGTGAGATACACACCATGTAGTGTCAACATATTGTTCAGTCATGTTTTGACTGACATATGAACAACAAATCACTTTTAGCATATGACTACACTTACAAGCACAATAACCTTATTACTGTTTGCAAACGATGAGCAAAAACAACTCAGTAAGTCACATTTGCCCCAGCAAAGATTATATAATCAGCTTCACATGACTGATTTAATAGTGCAGATATTTTCAGACTTGGAAGTAATTCCTGGAGATGAGCTTTCTCTATTTCCTTTTCTTTTGGTTGTTTGTACCAGGGGTGCTATCATAGCTGTTCGCTCCAGTGATCTTCTTGTGCGTTTTCAGAGACACGTCGGGAAACTGCTTTTCACAGCAGTAGCAAAATTTGTCTGGAGCTGATCAGAGAAGCCATGCTGCATCATAGATGGCAGGAGGCAGCTGAGTATATGGCAAGCTACCCACAAATTCTAGTGGTTAGAAGTAAAACCAGACCAGAGCATGTAGAGGTAAGATTTTTCAGCTATGGAAACATACAGTGTTCAAAACATAATAAAACACACTTACACACTTTTAAAGGTTGAACCTATTTGCCTACTTGGATTATAAATACAGTACTTTACAACAAGGTGTAGTTGACATTTAAAACTTGTACGCCTTGTAAGCTTTGATATTCCATTATTGATCCCCACAACTTTTTTGCTGTGCTTTTCTAGCTTATTTGGAAACTCAGCACTGAGATCCTTCACCACCATCCAAAGTCAACGATGGAGGACAACAACATCATCTATGAACGGATGAAACATTCAGGAGTTAAATATTACCTCAAAGTATGTCAGCCAATGACCTGACTTTAGTGTACTCATTCAGTGTAGTTGTATTTTCTTATGAGGCCTCATACGTCTGTAGATCTGCTTGGAGCATGCCTTTCATCTGATGCTTCATGGCCAGTTTGAAGATGCAAAGCAGCGTCTGTGCGCAGCTGAAAGCTGGAGATATGGGAAGACCTCAGCTGCCCAGTTTCAGAGGACTAAACTGATCCAGGCTTACAGGAGCCTGCTGGATTACATCATCTGGTCTGAAAAAACCTCAGCGTCCTCCAGCAGCAGTAAGACGATGCTGAGCTACACACCCCAAACACATCCATGATTTAATCATGTCTGTTATGCAGACACTTGGCAATGTCTTGTGTGATGTTACACTGCCATCTAGAGGACAGACAGACAAACTGCCTGTGTAAAAATCTTCAAAGAATGAGTTTCTTCTCTTTATTGTGTGATTTATGGCTGTCTCTTTTCAGATAATTTTGACTCTGACCACCAAAACATGCATTACTGCTTCAGACAAGCCTCTGTGAATTTTAAAGAGATTTTGAGAAATCCAGGTGTCTGGGATCCTTTCATCCTGAGTTATGTTGCGGTAAACACTCATTCCATTTTTTTTTTTTAAATGTACACTTCCAAAGATGTGGTAGATACAAATTTGGAAAATGGAGATGAAGAAGCCAGAGTCTTTAATGTCTTTTAAAGATCAAGTTGTGGTTCTGCAGTTTTTTTCTGTTTTTCTTGCAGATGCTGGAGTTCTATGATGACCAAACAGAAGCACTGAATGTCCTGAATGAGTACGCCTTTGACAGCAGCTTTCCACCCAATCCCAATGCCTATGTGTATCTGTTCCAGTACCTGAAGCGGCACGATGCCCCCCAGAAGAAACTGATTCAAGTGTTGATGGTAATGATGAAAGAAAAAAAAGCACTGGAGAAAGTAGAGTGTTCACATAAAGCCTTAAATTACACATGAATATGGACATTACTTTAAAAGTAAAAACGTATCACTTCACATGGTTTGTTTCACAGTATATAACTTAATCATACCTTTTGGCTGCCTGTTAATAGATTTAACAATCGCACACACACACACACACACACACACACACACACCTCGATTCAATTTTATTTATATAGCCAAATCACAACAGCAGTTATTTCAAAGCGCTTTCCAAAAAGAGCAGGTCAGACCTTAATGTGAAGTTACTTACAGAAGCCCAACAATTCCCACACACACACACAAAAACAATTTCTCTAACACTGTTAAACTGTTATGCGTTTTGTTGTAGAGCCTTCACAGATTAGTCCCGAGTCATGAGTTGATGTTGGAGTACAGCTCTCTGCTGCTTCATTCAGGTAAAAGCAAACTGAAACCTGAATTAAAAGTTCTTCCTGTGCAAATTTTCTGTTTTAGAAGTACCAAGTTTTAGAAGTTCCTGATATGAATATACATGTGAGTGCTTTTTTTCATTTGTGTTTCTATAGAGGAAAAAATGAACATTCGGAAAGCTTTAGGAGTTGTCCTCGAAATGCTTGACTTCGCCTGCTGGAGGAGCAACTTAGACGTGTGGAAGCGTTTACAGGCTATTATTCACAAACTACAGATAGAGTGTGTATAAATGCTTTATTCTTATTTTTCCCGTCACAAATCAATGTTAAAGCCAGAAGCCTAAAATAACTTTGCTTTGAAATAGAGATCACTGGGAAACAGTAGTCTGTGACGAGATGGCATCAAGAAAAGACTGGTGGCCTGCGCTGCACTTTACAAAGTTCCACGCCAGTAGAGACTCCACGGAGAACCATGAGCTTCTACAAGTGAAAGCATCGCTGATCAAAATCCTTTGTCCAGGTAAAAGGGTGTGCATTTTTATACAGCTGTTCCCGGGGGTGTCATCACAACGCTTTCATAGTTCTTAAAGCTGCTGGAAACCAAGGCTCACAATATACATGGAGCCTTTTATTTTACTGTTAACTGTAACCCAGGTGATAAGCTCTGAGAAACTTTATTGATGGCTTTAAATTAAACATTAGATGTCGTATACTTTTCTTGTAACAGATCGAACGCTGAAGTACGGGGCTGAGGAGAATCGACCTGACTGAGAAACATATGAAAACCTCTGGCAAGGTGACCCTTTTGCGGGACAGGGGGGGCTCTTCGTAAATGTATATTTCATCTGTGTGTTTCAGTAAGACATGATTTTGCTTCTCCTCCATTAAAACATTTTTTTTTAATTAAAAAATTGCAGAATTGTGCCTTGAGATTTATTTTATCCAACAGGCCGCATAGCCACTAAGTGGAGCTCTTGTTCTGTGTTTCTTCATGAGGTTCTTGACCATCTATTTACTGGGGCAAAGGTTTTTGTAAATGTTTCACTGACTGCTCAGTCTCTTTCTGAGTTTTAACTTCTGCATAGAACTGTGGTTGTAGTATGAAAAGTGAGTTTTCTGCTGGTTGCTGCTACGGCTTCAGCTTCAGTCAATAGTTTGTGTCGGTATTTTGCTCAGATTTGGTGTCTTTAGCATTGTTGGCTATTGGCATGAACCCCTTATAATGAAGGGAATCTTTTAAGGAAAAATAAGGTGATTTTAAATATCACTCATTTAATAATAAGAAGAATCGTTTTTTACTTTTAAACTTCAAAACTGAACAGTCTTACTTCCAGCTGTAGGCCGGTTTTTGCCTGTAATGATTCTGTGTTGGTTAGCCACAGTGTTGGCCGTGGAGCAGCTCAGTCAGCCGTACTGTGTGTGTTGCTTTGCAGTCATTATATAAACCGAAGCCCAAAGCGCTTGGCCGACCACTGAAGCAGCTGCAGAAGGGATCTGGGAATATCCAGCACGTGTCGGTCACAGTGGCAGCCAGGATGATGGAGTTGGGGGCTGCCTGCTGCTTTAGACTGTGTCTTAGAAAGTTTTTAAAAAATCTTTCAGTGCTTCAAATTTTTTTAATCATTGGGGGCCTTGTTGCACTGTTGTGAAGTAGCTCCACCGGGAGTTTGACCCTTTTCCTCTAGGACTGACCCAGTCAAAGGTCACACACCATCAGTAACATATGTTGTTCTTTAACAAATCAAGATAAAAATGTGTTATATTTTCTTATCTTGGTAACATTTTAGAGTACCGGATGCATCCCTCTGGCCCTTGAAAATCAATAAAGAGCAAATGAGGACCTAACTGCTTTTTTGTTTTTTATGAATGACAGACCACTCACTGCACTGCATCCAAAAGCCAGTGGCAAGTTAATTAAGAAGCAAGAGCAACTCAAGAACTACTCTAAATCAGATCAGATAGAAACATTTTATGACTAATTCTCACTCAAAACCAGTTCACATTCAATACTTCAGCTAAATTATTTTTCAAGCAGGCACTAGATGGTGCAACGGGCCTTTTTTGTGAGAGAATACTCCACTGTGAGCTGGAAATAACTTGTGCTGCTGATCCATCATTCAAGTTTTTTATTAGAATTATGCTTTAACTCCTTATAGCTCATATTAAATGGATAGGAGAATTTTGTTTATTTTCATTCATATTTCTAAGTTTGCATTTATGTTCTTCTCTTGAGGAGCTAGAACCTTTCTAAGTGATTTGCATGCACATTATAGATACCAAAAGAACCTGTTATTTTGTTTTATCAATTCATTTATTGTTTTTAATTTTGAAAAAATGAGCGGTATTGATAATGGATGGATGGATGGAAGTTATGTTTAAAGTGTTACTTATTATGTCTCCACAGAAACCTATCTAACCTCTAAAGTTACTTTTCTATAAATTCACCTTAAGTTTTTCAACAGGTAACAAGACACAATGAAAGGGAAGCAGTTTCGCTCCCAGACGTTATTGTTTGTAGCTTATTTTTCTTTTGAAGAGATGAGTCATCCAGGACCTGGATGAAGAATGCATTGAGCCAATCGGAGCTGACGAAGCAGAGCAGGTCAGATTTTTTTAAAATCGTTGTCGTCACATACTTCTAAATTTACAGGAAACATATTTGAATGCATAAGCCAATAGGAATAAGTCCAATATTTAATGAGAGCTTTACAGCACACATGTACTGACACTCCCTGAAAGGAGGAAAGTAGGTGGAACAAGTTTTTACAGCTTTGTTTTGGCACAGAGCAGCCACGCTGGTTCCACCAGACTGATCAGTTCTTGGTAATACATGTAGGTCTGGAGACACACCCCCTGGGTTGTTGGTACGTTCTGAAAAGTTAAAAACCTGTTGGATGAAAGCTCTGAAGGGCCATCTAAAAACTAAACAGGATCTGTGGAAGGGATGTGCATCTACCCTTTCAGAGTCAGAGGAACAGGAAGGTTCCAGGATCTGATGGTGGGCCTCATCCTGGCTGAACGTCTGTGCCTCCATAAGCTCTCTGACTGACAGGAGGCAGCAGGAGAAACTGGGAAGCATCTCCCCATTGGGTTTGTCTTCTAAGTCCTCCTAAGTTTGCGAACCAGTGTCATTGAACTCATCCAGCTGAACATAGGGCAAAGATCCTGTCTATTCTGACCACGTCCATCATGGTCTGCTTTGGATCGGTGCCAAACATAGACTGCTTGGATGTATTGTAACTGTGTATAATTGACATTGATTGAGTTCTTCCCATTCTGAGTCTCCAAACTCTCCTTGTGTGTCAACTTGCAGAGAATCTGACGGCTCAGGACCCTGTAGGGCTCTGAGGATTTGTTACCCAAAATCATGTTAACATGGTGAAAAACCTCAGTTTGCCGAAAACCATTTAAAGAGTTTTGGACTGGAGGAAAAGAAAGCAAGCCTGATAGTTCAGCCATGCAATTTGGACTTTACATACTGATGAGTTCGCTGGTGTCTCACGCCACAAGTAGGAGGGAGATAAAACAGAAAAACATGGTGCTGAAGTTGACTGAAGATTAAACTCTGAAATAAAAAGAAATTGAAAAGAAACAGGGTGAATGAAAACCCTCTACATATCCTCTTCTTCAGGTCGGCAAAGGAATTTAGTTCAAAATGGCCGATGATAAAAGGCTTTTGACACATAACAGTTACTGTTTCTGAGACAAAAATCGATAAGAGTGGAGTCAAATCTTGTGGAACCTCGGAGTGAGTAGAAAGAAAAAAGATTCCCAAAATATCCTCTCTGCTCTATATGTGACATTGAAAGTGACAACTACGATACCTTTGTTCTCGCAGTGCAGCTGCAAAAATAGCTTTCAATAATGTATTAGGGGAGTAAAAACTGAGCTGGTTTCTGCTCAGCTGTGTGTGTATCTGGACCTGGAGCTTTTTTTCTGCTGTGCACTGACTGTGAGAAAAGAGCAGGCCGGTGAACATAAACTGATCCTCTGGCCTGAGCCTCTACTTCCTCCAGCATGGAGTAAAGTCTCCATGCTCCTCACTGGACAATTAAACCAAATTAATTGTCAAGACTTATTTCTGGAATTTGTCTGCATGCAAACAGTTGAAGAGGTGCCGCTCTAGTGCAATGGCTCTGAAATGCCAAGTGCCTTAACCAGCAGAGCATTTACCTGAGACATTAATTTCTTGAGTGCCTCTGTGTGATAAGTGGAAACACAAATGTGACTTTGCTTCAAGCTCTGCCAAGACCAGCCAGCTGGAGCAGAAGTGGGAAATAAATCCCATAGTGATCAGAAATTCAGAGAAAGCAGGCAGAACAGAATTCTAGGTGGGAATTGAGATATTTACTGTTATGAGGTGGTTCTCTAATTTTGTTTAATTCAGCCTCAGTTTAAAGAGTATATGGAAAGCAGAAAACCCCCAAAAGTGTATAAAAAGGGCATCAACCAAGCCTGACTTCTCCTAAAACAGTTAGAAGAATATCTTCTGGCATAGCTGCAATCATGTGAAAATAAGCGCTGCCTCTGTGGCGCACTGCGAAGTTCAGACTTATTTCACTAAAAAGTTCAACCAAGAAGACATTTGCAGCACAATTATGCTAAAACAACATAAGTTAACCATTAAGCAGTTAATATCAAATCATAACTGCCCCAAAGGGCAGGACAGCACAGAACTTATATGCCCCCAGGGATTGGAGTAGGCCAAGAGGTGATTCCAGAATGGAAAAAACTCGGACGCACTACTGATAGCCAATCCTAGACAGGATCACACCTACAATCTGGCTGTGGCACTCCCACGCACTCTTTTTAAAAATCACATGCTTTGTTCATCGATACGTGTAGAAAATAAAAGGAAGTTTCAAAAACCATGTGGTCATCTTTTATGAGTATTTCCATGATGAAACCTTTTTATCCATGTTCCTTCTTTCCATGCTGAATAGTGCCCTTAAAATACAAAGGAAGGACAATGGCCATGGTTTTTAAATAAATATTTTCACCTCCCATTCTGTTTTTCTTTTTTCCAATACAAAGGCACATCATTGATATTTACCCTACTAAGGAGGTGATACCATTCAGGTAATATCGTCTATCAACACACCCACATATTCCCACTTAAACTCTGCTGGTTTAATTCCAAGTAGGCCGAGGGATTCTTTGAACCATTCTTTGGAAGCCCACAGGTCTGCTACAAGGCTCAGACTGACTCATGCGAGTGTATACTGTGTGTGGCCACTGACTCATGTCACCCCACTCGTCTGTTGTAATGAGTAACAAACAAGCAGCTAGTTCAGTCTGACCCAAAGAAGATCTGCTCGTTAGTATACTCGCTCTTTATGAGGGGGAGCTTGTGCGGTTGGAAAATGCAACACAGGGCCTGGTGCATTTTGAATGAATGTGGGAGCTGGGGAGCACCACCTGTCTGTCTGTGTGTTTCTATGTTTCCGTCTCTCACTCATCTTGCTCTCAAGCAGCACTTCCTGTGAACCCCAAGTACACATGCATGACCGTGTGAGCATCAGTTAGACATTTTCACACCTGCATGACAGGAGTGGAGACACACAGGATATCAAATACGTTATTGGAAAAGCCTTCAACGTTCAGCGAGCAAACAGTTAATCTGACCTGGGTTAAAGCTGATCAGATCTTCAACATACATAAATTCGAGGCATCTTCTTTGGGAATGAAGAGATAATTCAGCATATTATACTCATGAGGATAAGAGAAGAGGAAACAGGCAAGGCCATTTCACATTGTTGATAGTAGTCTATGTGGGTGGAGAGTTGATCTTCCTTTTTAAACGTGGTAAATTTTTCTCCTGGATTCTTAATTATTTTTAAGTTATTTTGAGTTATCTAATTTGCATAACTCCAAAACATCACATTTGATAAATAGATTGCCAGGATCTTTATTTCACTTCAAGGAAAACAATGTTTCATCAGCTGATGAAATGTCTTATTTTCCTATCATCCTTTAGAACAATGGATTTCATAGTGAAAATAGGGATGTTTGCACACACAGTCATGCATGATGTAATTAATTGAATAATTATTCAAAAGGAAAATGAAATGTTGAAGACTTGGGCAGCATCTCTTATTATCAAAGAGACATATCC